TGAAAAATATACGAATTTTTTGTTAAGGTGTTTTCAACGGTGTTTTGATTTGCGAAAAAACCTTCCTCAGTTGTTTTTGAGTTGTCTTCCTCAACCATCTTCTTTAACTCTGGTTTGATATTCTCAACATTGCCTTTAGTTACAAAGACTTGATTTGGGAAAATGACATCATCTGTGCACTTGAAATTTGGAAAGACCACCGTGTTTGTTTCAAGATAATGTGGACTTTTTTCATTCATCACTTCTTCAAACTTTTGTGTATCACCATACACTTGGTCAACTACGATTCGTGGAGTTTCTTCTTCCTTTGAGGATACCTTTTCTTTCAAAACTTTCTCAACATCTTCATCATCACTATCATCAGTTTGACAATCTTTGAGATCCACGAAGTTCATTTCACAAACTTTCGAAGTTGAGGGTATATCAGTTTCATACTCAACTATCAAATCCTTAACTTTTTCATTCCCTTTAGAATTCGAAGCAGCATTAACAACAGTCAACTGAGAACAATCAACATCTTCAAGCTCACTAATTTCACTAATATTATCATAATCATCTTCAATATCAGCACAACTAGATTGAGAATCAGATGTTGAATTCTCAGTCTTTTCAAAATGTGAATTTGTTCAGATTTAGTCAAAGTATCATTTACAATGTTAACTAAATCATTCGAATCAAGACATTCATCGACTTTGACAATTCCATATCTATACTTGTCATTGGAACCTTGTCAAAATCAACTATTTCCTTTTCACAATCATACGAAATGTTATCTACCTTAGCTCTTTCAAAAGCTAAAAATGGCAGCAATTTCCTATGTTGTTCTTTACTGATTTCACATGAATGATGAAGTTCAGTTAATTTTCCATATAATCTCTTAGCAGCATTACAGTAGATATTTCTTTGTGCTAATAACAGTTTATTATCTCTTGATAAATTGTCCTTATCTACCATGATATGCGTTATTTGGAGTTCTAGACAATCTATTCCAGATATTTTCGAATCTAACTTCTTCTAGGTCTCTATCAATTGCATTGACGACTTCTTAGCCTCATTGCTAGCAGATACCACAATTGAATCAAAATAAGTAACAGTTTCATAAAAAGATACTAATTCAGAACTATAAGCATGTACTGGAATATTAAAAGATTCAAGAATGTTTTGTACCTTTGTGGTCATTGGTTATTTGTCAGTAGCCTTTGATACGAAGCATTTTCCACACACTTCGTATGTTTCCTCCTCTGAATCCTCCTCCATCTTTGCAAACATGGCTCCATGGGTTGGATTGCGCATTTCTTCATCATCTGATCCAGATGACCAGATTTGATATGTACCATTTTCCTCCTCATCAATGCCCTTTGCAACTAGAGACAAATTCTTAGCTTTCGTACGAACCTCCTCTAACTTTTCAGCATAGTATGCCTCATCTTTCACCTTCATTTTCCTCTCACCTTTCTTCTAAAGCATACAGTCATTTGCAAGGTGATTCGCACCATTGCAATAATGACAGTCCATCCCAGTATCTCCCTTCAGCTTCTTCTCACTCTTTCCCTCAACAGCCTTCGAATCTATATTCTCTTCCTTCTTCTTCTCTTCCCCAACATTTTTACTCAGAAAGTTCCCTTTTATCTCATACGACTTTGCCTTCGGATTGAAAGGATTTTTAAAGAACTTTTTCACCTGATTGTTTGAGTAAAAGGAAATTGCTTCATCATCAGAGTTCATGATGAACCCTTCATCTTCAATCGAAGCATCTTTCTCAGCATCTTTCTCAGAAATCTTTGACATCAAAGCTAGTGGACCTCCCAACATAGCCTTCGATTCTTCAGCTATTTCATTCACTTCACCTTCATGAGTTTTAAGCTGGTTGTACAAGTCATTCAATGTAGATGTGTCAAAGCTCTGTTGGTTCTTCACCATCATGCTCACGCTCCGCCATTCCTTTCGAAGTCCCATGACAAATATCAGATTGAATTCCATTGCAGATCTAGTGATCCTATATCGATTGCATCGATATATCAACTCATTCAGACGATCGTAATATACTTCAATTGATTCACCATCCTTCTGTCTGAAGTCCTTCAGCTCAACTAAGCATTGTTTGACAGAATTAACCTTCGTCTTCTCACTTCCCTGAAACTTTTCCTTGAGATTGTTCCAGATTTCTTTTGTAGTTTTACAACTCCTCACGTAGTTGTAAACAACTGGAGGCAAAGCTCCTCTTAGCTCTCTCATACATCTTTTCTCCAGCTTTTTCAGACGATCATGTTGATTTTCAACTTCAGAGTTTCCAGAGGAAGAACCAAGTGGTTGAACATTCGATGGTGGATTGAGATTGGCAGTAATGAAATTCCACAGTTCTTCATCCAATTCATTAAGATAATCATGCATACGATCAGCCCACTGATCGTAATACTCAGGGATGAGCATAGGAATTTTGGTGGAAGATCCTAGAAGATGAGAAAATGAAGTCATTGAATTCAGATTGAAGGACGACATTTTTGTATGGAAGAAATCCTTGAGATTTTTAGAAGAAACTATGAGAATTTGACAACAAACTGTATGATTCAGATCACAATCACTCTTAGAAAACTCGATTCAATGAATTAAGTGCAGAATCTAATTACAATCTTAGATCTAAAGAACTTTTCACTTTCAAAAAGTGCGGAAACTTTTGAATCAAAAAGTTGATTCAAAAACCCTTTGAATAGAGTGAAAATCATATCAGAGATGTTATTCCTGCTTTGATACCAATTGATGAATCAAAGAATCAAGTATAGAATGAATAATAATGTGAATTCAAAGTAAGTATGCAAGATTTGAACACCGATGTAAATATGATCTGTTTGGCTCTATTACGCTTTTTCAAAGTTTACAGAGTACAATGAATATTCTGTAAAGACTTCGTTACTAAGACACTAGTAACTTCTCCTATTTATAGGAGAGGAAAGCGTACAAAAAATATACTAAGGACTAAAACATTATGCTTCGAATATTATGCTTTAGTAAAATAAAAATACAGAAATGTACGAAGACCCTAAATACAAACTTCGACAATTACAACATTTCGACCCTAACACACTGGTAGTGACAATGAATGGTGATGTGGTGGATGGCGATGAGCTGGTGATGGCAGAGCATGAAGCGTGCATAGTTGATGATGACAAGGCAGAGCATGTAAACAAGGATGTGATGTGGTGGCCGGTGGCTGAAGTGAATGCGAGAAATAGGAGCCCTAACATGATCTGTTAATGGAGAAAGATTATTGTTGATGGATGACATCCATGGTTTTAGATTTTGAAGAGATGAATGCTTTCACCAAGGAGAGATTTTGACGATAATGAGGGCAACATTGGGTATTTAGTGTCAACCATGAGATAAAAGGGCCGAGAAGGGAAGCTAACTGATTCAGTTGGCTAAGGTGATGAAATACAATCTTATCTAAAATTCAAAATCTGCAATCATGACTTTTTCAAATGTTGACCAATATTCAGTATTTTTCTAAGGCATCAAGTGATTGTAAATAATGCATTAAAGGTCTGTACGATATATATATATATATATATATATATATATATATATATATATATATATATATATATATATATATGGTTAGGTTATAATGTGAAATGTAATTATTGTGTGGATGTAAGGATCCTTTGTAGTCCAAGCATTTTTCCTAAATTAAATTATATTTAAAAGTGGAAATTATCGGACTTCAATGGATAATTGATTTTTTAATTTTAAAAATTATGATTGTTTTTAGTTAATTTAAATCGAACATATTTTTTTAATCATAAACAATCTGATTATGATAGAATGATATTCGGATAGAATACATATTCTGATTGAATGAACATTTTGAAAAATTACAAAATTTTGAACCATGAGTTGAAGAATAATAACAAAAATTATATTAATTCTTATAGAATACGGGTACAATTACTAAGAATTACATTTATTGTTAAAGAATAAAACTAAAAAAAAACTTTCATATCGGGAAAGAAAATATCAAAATCTAACAAAGACACTAATACATTCTAAAAGAATAATGTTGCTTAGAATCACTTTTCAATTTTGTGGTCCGTTCTTCAGGCATCAACTTCTATGAAAACAAAATCAAATTGTAGTTTAGAACCCAATAATGCATTAGCAAATGAAAAATAAAAAAAAATTCCTTTGGAAAATATGCGGACTTGTGAATTGCACTAAAACCAATAACCAAGAATTGTAGAACATGCATAAATCAATGAGAAAATATACATATTCCATTCCAACATAATTGGAATTCGTGATTCCATTCCAATAGAATTGGAATTCAAAGATTCAATTATAGAATCTGGAAAAAAAATTAGAAACTGAAATAAATCAAAATAATAAACTGAAATAAATCAAAAGAAGTTATACAAAATTTGCAACTTCTTATGATAGGAACACCATCTTCTCTCCAAATCACACGTTCTTCACATATTGCAGTTGCCGCCTCAGCATACATTTTATGTTCCTAAAAAACCATGTATTAAAGATTACAAAAAAGATTGCAAAAGGCACAAACTTGATTCCAATCAATGTAAAATTCACCACCTGGAGAAGAACCCTTGTAGCAAGTTCTTCAGCAGTGTCATTAACAACCAGAGGAACGATTCTTTGGGCCAGAATTTGACTCGTGTCATGGTTCTCATCAACAAAATGGATCGTGGGACCCGAATATCTTCTCAAATAATAGAAAAACAAAAATACATAAGAGATCATATGAGGCAGAATACAACAAAAAGAAAGATTGTAAATAGGTTAAGAACATTCATTAGCTAGATCCAGAAGCAATAACAACTTTATGCACTTTCATACCATAATACCCTTTGCCTGCAAAAGCAGGAACACCAAATTTTGTTGAAAATTATTCTTTAGCATTACATCGAACACGTGTAAGGCATACTGAAATGAACCTTACCATTTACCAATTTCCAATAATAATAATTCCCCATATGAATTAAATCATATTAACAATTGCATATGAGATTGATAATGAAAAAAGGAACAACATTTACGGAAACCCATTTGAATTTCAAGTCAAAACTGAATAGGGGAATCGATTGCGTATTGGAATCGATGAGAACGTGTATTTGTGAGAAAGAAAGAGGGAGACAGTGAGGGACATCATACCATAGGGTTTTGGCGATGAAAATTCGAGCAGGTGGAAGAAAATTCGTTCCTTCTCTCTGTATTAAGGGCATCTCGCAGAATCCTTGCATAAACCTTTGAGCTAATTGATTATTTGCGTTTCGATCTCCATAACTTGGACACCCAAATTCACCCACTATGATTCCCATATTTGTGAATCCGTTCTTTTGTATGGCCCAGACGAGGGTATTGTAGTTGGCATCAAACATATTTGTATAGTTGGTGTCGCCGTCGTTCACCAAAGTTGCGTTTCCATCGAAGAATGCGTATTGCATAGAAAAATTGGAGTCGATGTAGAGGTTTATGAAGGGGTAGATGTTGACAGTGAATGAAGATCCATTTTCGTTTAGGAATTTGGTGAGTTGGATCATCTAATCTCGCAGAATCCTTCATCACACGTCGATTGAACGAGACTGGAAGGATACTGTGAATGTGGATGAAAGAGGCAATAGGGTTTTAAACAAAGTAATTACCTAAATTAAAGGATAGATGGTTTAATAAATTATTTATTAAAATTAAATAATATTTGGCCCATATTAATCCCTACATCCACACAATATTTATTAATCCACATTTGAACCTACCTATATATATATATATATATATATATATATATATATATATATATATATATATATATATATATATACTATCTTATTATTTTTAAAGAACTACCTAATGATTTTTGAAAAAAAATATCAATAAGTCCATATTTTTTATACCTAATAAGCATTTTGAATAGCCCAATGTTTTAATATAACTGGTCCATCTAAAATTAAACAAAAAAAATAAAATAAATAGAAATGTCATTCAAAGATTCAGTCGCTTCCATTCCCTATGGTTTCAAGTGTTCAATTGTTTCTCCTACTAACTTCCATTTGCTGATCGTTGTTCGGCCATGACATCGGCCGCTGCCCTGCCGCCCTCTGTTGTTGCTCATTTCTTACACCGACCACAATCAATCCACATGTTTACGATCAGACCCACCGTCACTCGTACTTTTTACTCTTTCATATTTTCAATTTCATTTACATTAGGAACCATATGGTTTTTGGTTCTATATTCGTCATAATTAAAGGCTTACTTTCTCAAATTGAACAAGCACCTGTAATACTGCTAATACATAATAAAATATTATGTATGTTGATATATTAGTTTTTTTTGTAATAATCTATGTCAAAAGATCATGAGATATACTCAATGATATAGCATAACTAACGTAATGTACAACTAGTTGTCAAAATTCAAAAGCATGGAATATATAAAAACTAGGGCTACCAAAGTAAATTTCAATTTTGTTTTGTCCATCATTTCTACAATTTGAACCAAACTACCAACGTACTCAATTACATATTGTAAATCATAGAATTCTAGCTAAAAGATAAAATTAATGTTTGTAGCATAAAGTATCTCAAAACAAAGGAATTATGTATTGGCCTTGGATTAACTAACAAAGCCAAGGAGAGTATAATCAAAAGAGCATAAAACATGTCAAAACAATAGTTCCAATGAACTTAGTAAATCATCGAACACTTGGTGGAAATAAAAATGTGGTTGCTTAATAACATAAAATTTACCATATTTTCTCAATATCTTCACTTCGTTTAAGGGCTTCCATAATCAACCATTATATTTACCATCCCTTTTTATAATTGTGGATGCAAAATCAAGAATCATCAAATATCATAAGTTCATCGAGAAATCCCAAATCAAAAGTTAAGAAATCAAAACTTAATAATGTAATCGATTTCAAACTTCAGCCTTAGAAAATCAAATCTTTAGAATTAGAATTTCAAAATTAAAAATTAGAGGATTTAAAATCGAACTCGGTATATATTACTCAACAGTGTCTATTGTTTACCATGTATGAATGTTATTACTGAGAAGTCGGTTAAGAAACGACGATTCATTTATTGTCGTTTTGGGAGAATTGAGATATTGATTCCCCCATTCTATCATGAGATACAAAAGAATTAGAATTTCAAAATTAAAAATTAGAAGATTTAAAATCAAACTCGGTATATATTACTCAAGAGTGTCTATTGTTTACCATGTATGAATGTTATTACTGAGAAGTCGGTTAAGAAACGACGATTCATTTATTGTCGTTTTGGGAGAATTGAGATATTGATTCCCCCATTCTATCATGAGATACAAAAGAAACATCAAAAATTGTAACTGGCAAAATTTGAACATAGGCCTCTTTTACTTCAAACGATCGTGCAACTCAACCATCTCAACTAGAAACACTTTTGATACTTTATCATACATTCTATTGTATATCACCTGATACTATATATATATATATATATATATATATATACACACACATTAGCCGTTTACACGCACCAAGCGACGGGTGCGAATAGTTTTTTCAGAAATTAGTTTCAATAAGCGATTAGTTCTTCTAGAAACGATTATTCTTTTGCGTAAATAATTTACTACATCTAATCAATTATCAATAATAATCATGTTAGCAGAAAAGAAATCAGTAAAAATTAAAAATGAAAAGTTAAGATTCTTTACAAATATACATGAATTATGCATTATTAATTGTACAACACTTATTTATACAGAACATTTGATTAGTTTCTTTTCGAAATACAATGATTAGTTTCAATTTAACAATTCAGTTACGTTAAGACGAACAATATATTCTTTAATATACTTGGATAAGTGCTTTCATATGTTGGATCCATTGTGTTGAAGTTTAGATCTAGGGTAATAATCTCAGTTTGAGTAAATTACAAACAACTTTTAATCAGTTGAAAACCTACAATCAAAACTCGTATGGATGTAATTACCACTTTTATCTTACAATTACCAAGTATATATAATTCAAGTGCTTAAATTAAGCTACTTTAAAATGACAGTTGCTAAACATTACCACTTTTATATATAATTCAAGTGTTTAAATGAAGGTACTTTACAATGAAAGTTCTAAACATTAGATCATTGTATATATACCAACGTAAACACCTCTAGACTTCTACATTTTGTTTATAAGTAAATGGTGATTTACATTGGTCCATGGTTATGCATCCTAACCATCTTGGAGATTTTTCAATAATAAACTGAGCATTCCTTGCAGAATCTCAGAAACAATACATTTTACATCGGAATTTCAAATTTTATTAAGCTTCAAAAGTACTCCATCACTTCATCCCCTTAGGCATTACTTACATAATGCTTTGAATCCATTCGGCTTATTAAGAAGCTTCAACATTGTTCGTTGGACTTCACAATCACTGAATCACTATTTCCACCCTAAGAATCCATTAAAGTTGGTCGATGACTACCACTTTATTCCATAATATAATCGATCAATATAAACACTAAAAAACAAAACTTATAAATATACAAACGGTTAGGATTGGTAGAAAAAGAGTCCATGCCATGTTGATAATAATTTGCTTTCGACTTATTTTAGGTGATACCGACCGTTCTTTTTTCGTACCGGTTATTTTTATAAAACATCTCTTTTTCCGGTCTGGTTTCGTTCTCCTCGACCAATTTGATCTATAGAATTTTTCATTTGCTTTTTTGGTTCGAAGTTAGATTTTTTTCGATTCAGTTTTGAATTTTCCGATTTGATCTTAATCTGTTTTTTATTAAAATGAAAAATACGTATTTTAAGGATAAGTTTAATACCGGGATAAATATACAAACTAATAATACACTTCAAATTATTTTAGTATCCTGATCCTTTTTACAATATAAATATTTTAAATTATTCTTATATTAATTTCAAAATTTTGATTTCATTACATTAATCAAAAATAAATTTAATATTTAACATGTTACCTACTAAATAAAATTTTATAATTATAGGTTTTAACTAAAACTAATTTCTAATTACAATGTCGCAACAAAACAAATACAATTCTACAATACAAATTTACCTGAGTATTATAGGTATTTTATTTTAAAAAATATTTTAAGTAAGTTCTTATCTTTTTAACAACTGATGAATTTAACACAAACATAATTTCATAATTAATGGATTTAAATAAATGAATATTTTAAACAATCAAAATTTAATATTATGAATTAATAATTTATTATTCAATACTAAAATTTATGATTTAAAGTGGACACTTTAACTTTATTTTTAGTTAGACATATTGATGGTGAATATTTGAACATCGAAGATAAGAGATTGATAGCAATGAAAAAAATGTAAAAGTAGTGATGATGTTAGTTTATATTAAAAAATGGAGGAACACCATAATCCAAAAATAACAAACTACAATGCTATCTCAGTAAACTTTCAATAACAGAAAACACTAATTGAACAACCACCACAATTAACTAAATAGCACCAAAATAAAAATCGTTAATCGTGGAACAGCAAAGAAAAAGAAATGTCTTTGACATGAATAACCACTACATCATCCGCCTAAATGAACATGCATAAACACAATCAAGAGATATCATAAGCTATAAGCTAAAATTACCCCATAAGTTACATCCACCTAAACTTATACAAAAGTAAGAAATTTCAAAGATACCAACTCAAGAAAAATGAACTTAATATATGTGAATAACATACACTAACAGTAGACTTAAAGAAGTTGCTATTAAGACCAACCATGTTGAAATTTTGATGTATATGTTAAAATCGGATTTATATTGACCCATTAAGATAAAGACAAGTTTCCATAAGATAAACAACAAGAAATCCCGAACTTGGCTCTTTCTGACGCTCGAACTCGCCGAGTACCACAATGGGCTCACTGAGTTGAGGCCTACTCGCCGATTACCACCATGGCACTCGCCGAGTTCATCAGGCAGAAACACAAAAATCAAATTTTGCAAATAACAATCAAGCAACTAATGCAACAATTCAATATAAACCAATCAAAGCTCTGATACCACTGTTGGGTTTGAGCCATAAAAACATTCCTATGTGCACATGCAAACCCTAATGCATGGATCTAGGTTTCTCTAATTGAACATGCATTGTATCCAAGACTTCTAATGATGATTCTAGTATAATAACAATAAGAAAACAGATTTAGAAGATTACCTTGAATCACTTGCTTGAATCTTCTTGTCCTTGGAGCTTTAGAGTCACAAGTATCACTCCTCTAGTGGCTTACAAACACCAACTAGCAAGAGGATGATTATACAGAGAGAGGAGCGATGAGCAAATCGGCCAAGGTTTCTTCTTAAGCATAGATGCCGATTTTCCTTGACCCCTTGGGTCTATTTATACTAGTAAGGCTCCTAGGGTTTCACCCTTAAACCCTAATTGGATAACTTAGGCCCTAAGCTATCCAATCCCCTCATGATAAGCCTTGGACGAATTCTAGGCCTATCCTAAGCCCCAAAACCGTCCACCCCTTATCCATAAGGGATAACAACCCAA